GCTGAGAATTCCTAATTCTAAATAATGGGGTCTGGTACATAGTTTGTACACACATGGCTTGTCCAAAAAGTTTTATCACCCTTGTTAGTTCCATTTATATCTTCCATATTTATCTATCTGGATCAACTGCAATGTTGCAATGCATCTGAAACGGGACATCTGTACTGTCTTGTCTCAAAATGGCAACTGAGATGGCTTACTCAAGCACAAAGCAAACACTGACATGTACAGCTGTGATGACAGCTGTGTGTCCATAATATATTCATCACAGAAGGAAAATACACACGTACATTCTGTTTGCTGAAAGCATGGTCTCTTTCTTGAAGTCTCTCCTTTAGAGGGAGAAAGTAGGTGGACAAAGATGACTAGTCATGCTAACAAGTTAAAGTGCACAGCCTTTGAGGTACATAAATAACTAGCAACACACTTCTATGGGTGTGTACCATTCAAACACACCTACTGCTTTGAGGCAGATTCATCCACAGTCAAATTAGATCTGACGTTAGGAGAGGACCACAATGTTGTTGTTTCAGGGATTTGGGGAAATGAATCTGTGTCTCTGTGTAGCGGCAGAGAGGCCCCCAGCTTAAGTGTTGCAGGAAAAATTAATGCAGCTCTACTTAGAGAGGTAAAGTACAGATTCATAGATTCAAGCCCAATTCCTTACTTTTTCTGTCTTGTAGATGAATTTTGAGAGAATGCCTGAATGCTGCAAATTAATAAATGCTGCTTTGTAATAATACCTATGAAATACTGTACAAACAGAGGGAAAGCCACTTTTCATAAGAAAATATTGTTATCAATAAATATCTCTCCATGTATCCATTATACAAAGCCATATTGCTTATCTCAAAATAATTCTGATATCCTATATGCATTGATTTGCCTGCATGTGAAAATGCACATTGATTGAATGGATGAACCCTTTTGAAAAGTCAGATGCATTAAGTTGACTTTTTAAAATATTCCAACATGCCATCCTGAATTGAGCTCAAAAAAATTACCAGTCCAGAAAACCTTAAGTTTGTGCTTGATGACTCACTGGTTTGAAAACCTTGATCACTGAGATGGCAGAGATAAGGTTAGTGATGTTTTTTCCTAACCACTATGGCTAATTAATTGCGTTTTCCTGAAGTATATTGACTTAAGGTCAGATATAGATCTGTTTAGGAGTCTTCACTTGTGTCAAGTATGTGGATGTTCTTTTGTTTGATCTCTAACTATAAATTATATGGGTTGCTATATCTCCAGAAAACAGAATTCTAAATCTCTCCTTCTAGCTGGTAAATGGAAGCATTTCTTGGCAAGAGTATCTATAGATTTCTGTTTTCCTCTGTGACGGGGCATGTTCAGGGCTGGGTCTCAACCTCAGACCATCCACCTGTCTATGTGGGGTAGTCTACCCAGTTTTGCCTGCCACAACTTTGCTGGTATAAAAAATTGGTAGTAAATGTGGGAGGCTGCCCATTATATGCCCTGATGCCAGGGGGTGCTATTCACAACTCCATACCTCCCTACACTGGGGCCCATGCCTCGCAAATGACATCATAAGTTCTTAACAGCTTCAGCACCACACTGGGCCCCATAACATTCTAGTTTTGACCCCAACTAGATCCCTCCTAATCAGGCAGTCTACTCCGCCCTCATTCTGGGCTGTCAAGCTCCCTGCACATTTGTCCCTCTCAGCAGTGGCCCTCTCTCTGGGACCTTTGGCCACAGAGGCCCTGGCCCCACCTCTAGGCCAGTCAGAACCTCAGGCCCCCTGGCTCTGAGCGTCCCTCGTGATGGGCACTTTAGTCCTTTTGACTCTTCTTGTCCAGGCCCCAGCATTGACCAGTTGAGGCTGCCTTGAGTCAGGCTTCTGAGAAGCTAGCCCACTCTCTATTATATGGGTCTGCCTTATTGGGCCCTACTAAGGGGTCACCCACTTGGTTGTGGGGGCTGGGGTTTTAAGGCACCCCTCCTCACCTTTTACTGGGGAGGTCCATGGTCCTGGTATTTGAATGGCACTGCCCCACCACAGGCAGTTCCCCCAGGCCTCCCTACCCCAGCAGGGTGCAGTTCCAGGTCATGCCCAGGACCAGGAGACAATATGTGAAATGGAAGTCTGAAAATGCAAATGCATGTCAGTGAGGATCAGAGGGAATGGGGGACACTAGGTGTGAGACAGGTAGGTGGGGGGGGAGGGGCAATGTTAAATTGGTGATAGAATGATAGAACTACTGATTGAGCAAAATGGATAAATTGAGCCTGTAAGCATTATTGCTTCATATGTCCATTGACCATATGTTTAAAATCTGTGAACCTGCTGTAAAGCTCATTGAAGTCAATTGATTTGTTGACTTCAGAAAGCTCTAAATCAGACTCTGTTCTT